GACAAACGAAGCAGACATTATTGTTTCTGACTTTTCATATTAACACTAAAGAGAAAATGAAGAAGAACGCCCCTAGTTTTGGGATAAGGGTTTTGTACAGTAATACACTTTTTTGTGATAACAAAAAGAAAACGGCGCTCATAAACTTATAAACACAATAATAAAAGCCAATACGCATGTTAGCTTATGTCATACCTATACCTGCCGCTACTTGTGAAATTGCCATGCCCCGTTCCCTTACATTTAATATAACATAGCGTTTTTATAATCACTGTTTTTCTGATAGCTGACACGCCACTATGATACATTTAGTTAATCACTTAAAATGGCGCTGTGTACATTTTTACAAGATTTAATGACAGTAAGGCTTGCCCGTTTGTTTAGCACATTTTATTGCGAAGCAAAACATATAATTTATTAACATTTGTAATGATAAATTATTTTTTAATTACGGTTAGAGAGTTCGGCCTTTTAGGCAATAGCCGATTCAGACCCTAACTTCTTGAGCTATTCTTAGATTCTCTAATCCGTCCCTATAAGTAATATCTCCTTTATACTTTTCCTTTCAATCCTCTCCCAATTTTCGCATCTAATCCCTAATATCCCTGGTTTACGGCAATAAGCTTGGCCCCTACTACACAACTTGAACTAAGGGACTCTGCCTACCCTTTCGATATTATAAGGATTATAAAAAATAATAATAACTTGACACGTCTCACAAAGGGCCTAGCAGGATAAGGCAGGATCAGCAGCCCCAGAAAGTTTTTTTTTAAGACGATGCCCGCATTAGGTATATATTCCAGTGTCGCAGGGGACTTTACAAGCATGAAAACGGACACAAAGAACACACAAACTCAGAACAACAAGCCAAAGATATCTTGAAAATAACTCATTAGGCAGCATCGGCGAAGTATAAAACTACAATTAACAGAAATTCAGCGTCTCATCTCGCTGCGTTTTGGAGATACGGACGGAGGACGGAATGCGACGGGTGTTGGTCTAGTGGTCAGTGACCCTGATAGCTAAGCCGGAGGTCGTGGGTTCGATTCCCACCCAGGACAAATATTTGTGTGATGATCACGATCATTTGTTCTGTGTCTGGGTGTAATTTATCTATATATGTAAGTATTTAGAAATATATAAGTATGTTTATCAGCAGTCTGGTTACCATAGCACGGGCTCTGCCTAGTTTGGGATCAGACACCCGTGTGTGACATGTGTCAGGGTAATTATTATTATAATTGATCAAAAAGACGCCAAGCGGGTATTTTTCAAAATTTAATTTTTCGATAACTTTCCAAGCGTTGTTGTCAAGATTGAAATTAAAAAGTTCTACACGTCAATCTAATATATAACAACATCGATAAGCTTGAGAGCTATATACCTCATTAAAATATATGAGATTCTCATATACAAAGAGCTCAATCAAATTAGCGTATCGTTGGAGGACACAGTCCCCCTTGTCCCCGATACCTACATAAAAAGTATCCATACGGTACTTAAAGCAACCTCTGCACGGTATGAAGACAGAATTCAAATATGAATTTTAATTAATTTTAAGTAAATCTATACGATTATATGTTAGAGAAATTTTTAAATTAAAAAGTTGGAAAACTGTGGTTCTAATCTAGACGAGACAGGCGAAGCACAAGGGTACTACCTACCTTTTCTCGAAGTGCTTCGTCGTTTTTTGAACCCTCATAACTTGGCTTTTTCGGGATATGCTGTCAATAGTGGACTTATTAAACATATAAATTCTTAGGGTTCTTCCTGAAGTCCTAGAAAGCTAGAACATAAACAACAATACTAAAACCTGGCACTTTAACTTCCCAAGCCCATATTCAAGTTTTTTGTTTTATGGAAGAGGGAGCAAACGAGCAGACTAGTCACCTGATAGAAAGTGACTACCGCCGCCCATAAACGCCTGCAACTCAGCAGTCACAAGCGCGTTGCCGGGTTTGTATGAGACTCGCAAATATTGATGCCATGTTATTGTATCAATTTTCAGACCCCTAGTCTGTAAATCAATATAATAGCGACTCCTTGTTATAAATAATATATTGTCTTAAGCAACTTGCAAAAAGTGGGGAAATCTTACGTCAACGAACGACTAAAAGAACCTTAGTCAAAATATGTGGCATAGCCGTTTCGTTACTACAAGAACTTTTGTATAACAGAAAAGTAATGAACAGCGAATGAAATTTTAACCTTACGTCCATGTGACGGTAGCGAAATAAATTTAACACCTTACGCCTATGGGACGGTGGCGAAACTGCCAAGCCACATATTTTGACTAAGGTGTAAAGTTTGTGACGTTAGGGCTTGTAGAGTTAGAAGTTTATCTCTATATGAGATCTGATAACTTTTTGACAGTGCATGCCACATGGTCTCGTCTTGGCAACATTTTACATAAAAATGTTTTTGGTGAGATATGGTTTTCCAAATTCTATTCTCACTATCAAACAAAAAAAAATGTAATTTACTTAAAGATTTTTTTTTGATATTTGTAATATAAATTAAAACTTGCAAAATAATCATGATATCATTATTATCCTTCTGCACTTACAAATGTGATATCTGTAATCAAAAGTAGAATTAGAAACTTTGGATAGATAAACAGTAAGTGTTGATCGTGGTTGACAATTACAATAATAATTACTAGGATATAGCAGAGAAGTCTATTTAAAGTAATTCGACCGCCACTTTGGACAGCGAATTCGATTCCCGTCAAGTGCACATATATGTGTATACATGAATATGTCTGGGTGTTTCTAAGTATATTATTTCTTGAAATATTATTGTTATTATTGTTACAAATTTTATGTTGTTTCTTTTTTGATGGTCTGAGTTTTAAAATTGTAATAGTATTTAGTTTATTTTTGTTAAAATTAGCATAGATATAAGCGATTTGGTGTATACTGTGATGCTTATATTTTATTAATAAAGAATTGAATTGAATTGAATTCGCCGTATTTAACTTAAATAATGTTTATCGTTTTTACTCTCATAGTGTTCGGAGGATTTCGTCATAGTTGTTCCTCATGATTAGAACCAACAATAAATTTGTCGAAATATATTCATTTGGCAGGAAGAGTCTTACTATTAGTAATCGTCGCTCACAACTGAAAAAAAAGAGAATCTCAACTGACATACTTAAATTAGGTCAATCTATCCAAAAAAATGAACATTAAAAAATAAAAAAGTAAAAATGCTAAACAGTGTAGAAAATAAAAACAATATAACTTCCAAAACCCTCGAAATACATGTAAGAAACATAGTTTAATGAACAAATAAATAGACTATACCTAAGCATTACAGAATGAAAATTACTTCATTGTACCCTTGAGTTACTTTGATTTGAATATTTAACCGAAACTTGAGACAGGTGCTCACAAAAACTATTACGAAAAATTACGTACTCGTAACTAGTGACGCATTGTCTCTTACGAGGAAACTTCTCAAAGGTAAACCGAAGTGACAGCAAACTTTATATAAGCGTTAAATTATGTAAGTATGTTACAATGATCACTATAAGCTGGCTGCCGTTCCCGTGTACTCTTCAACTGTTAAACGTACTTTTTTCGAAACTTTGTGAAGCTTTCTGTAATTACTATATTGTATGGTACATTATAATATGTTATTTAAAAATTATTTCGGATATAAAATGTCTATAGGTGTTATCAAGTGGAATCTCTGTGCCCTTTTCATAAGTGTATTATGTGCGTACGGTGTACAAATTGTCAAATACTCGTATTATTGTTTCAACTGTACTTTAGACGTAAAGGCTTCTTTGTAACGTAATGGAAACAAGCCTTTCCTGTTGATAAGACGTGTCACGTAATAAAAGCGTTGAGTAAGTCTACTCAAGGTTTCCCCCTCTGTAACTATGTATGTATGATGTCACCATCACATTGGGGCCCCATATATTCGTGTCCTTACCTACTTTACGTTACTAGTCATTTTGTATGTTTTTAAAACAAAAGAATTAGTTGCTTGCGACTACCTCTTTATCCCGTTTTCATCACTCGTTGCGTAAAAATTGTCGGCTGTGCTTATAGAATTCTGCTAGGGAACTGTTGTCTTCAGTAGTTCAAAAATTAAATCTCATACCTGCTTCTTCAATACACTTTAACATTTTTACAGCCCTACATGACGTCTTCAACGTTCGATTAAATATGACGCCACGTGTCGTACACGGAGCGCGCATCTCAATTCTCCCAATAGAGTTTAATAGCCACGTAATTAGCACTGGTTGACTGTCTGTTTCCAGGCCTGAAACATCTTAGTGAAACAGGATCGAGTGGCGTAGTGGTCAGTCTACTACTTGACCCGATGTTATTAAGAGTCAAGTGCATTTTATTGTGTATAATGCTTCTGAGGCTATGTTCAAACGTGAATGTGAACGAAAGCTAGTTTATATAAAGTTCTAGCTACTGAATAATAATAATTATTATTATTATTCAGACATCTCACACACGGCCGTCTGCTCCCAGACTAGGCTGAACCTGTACCATAGTAACCAGAAGGCCAATTCTCGTAATTAATGTTCGGTCTCAATTCAGTTCCGATCAACTTTCGATCTCACTGTCTGTCATAAACGGTATTTCCGCAGTAAAGTATTAAACATCCAACGTTGACTGTAATGTGATTAAATCGTATTGTAACCGAAAATTTAATCGGTAATCAGCTAGTCTTATGATACTTTACTATTTTATTTTATATTACGAGTATTTTACATGTGTATGTATAATTTAAAAGCAGGGGTTTTCTCATTATGTGAAAAATCCTATTTTCAAAGTTTCAAGACGAGATTAATTATTATTACGATAGAGACGAATAAAAAAAAGGAAACTTTTTTCTAGTGTATGAATAATAATCTCCATATCATAATTGTTATTACAGATAGAAATCGTGTGGTTTAGCTTAACGACTATGTGTAAATGAGGACTACTTAGGTATCTTAACGTTTTGCTATATAATGTTTAATTTGTTTGTTACAGGAAGACGTGGTGCGGTGGCGGTGCACAGAATGCCGATCGCGCCGCGCGGCCCTCCGCCCATCTCGACACCACCTTACCACCTGCTGCTCCGTCGGAGACCTAGCTTAACCCTCAAGTGTCCTTCAATAATATAACGTCTAACTTTTTGTACGCCGCTTTTATACCGACCTATAAGTATAAGTACGCACTGTGTAAAGTGTCGCGCGCAAGTGTGAGTGTACGTGAGTCGATGGTGCGGCCGACATGGGAAAGTCCTCGGCGAGAACACATGGTCAAGGTAAGTGTTGTACTCTATGCCTTCCCGCCCACAACACACCTGTCCTCAGCCCTCGAGTTCACAATACTGAATCACACCGACACGTTTCTTATGTATTCATAGATAATCTTTTTAACTTGAGTATATATGCATAAATGTATATAAGCGTGCTTTTGAAAACGTTTTAGGTAAATAAGGTTGTTTAACACAAATGTAGAGACAACATACCTGTTCAGGCATTGATGTATTGATCATCGTAAACCTTTTCATGTACATTTGGTGCTTTACTCCTGCCGGTGATTGGAGCCGTTGTCAAACTTTTATGTTAGTCTTGCCTTCCTAATATTGCGGTTTTACTAGTGACAGCTTATTATCATGTCTTACGCATTTCTGCCTTAAGTACTGTTATGCTAACTTTAATCAAACAAAGTGAACCTATTTCTCTTTCCTCCCTAACGTTACACTTAGTATTTGTGGCTTCTACAAATACATATTATATCAGTTTAACCATTGACATTCAGACGCGTCGATAGAATGCAACATAATGCAGCCTCAGTACTGCTTCTTAAAATGTCAAAGCGAGACACTAGTGAATTAGTAAATAATAATATAATCGAAAATGACATGACGTAAAATTTTCTAATGGTGACAATTTTCATTCCACTTTTCGATTGCTGTCAAACTGAAAATATGAAATAGCACCGCATATTGAGAACATAATCAGTCGATCCCAGCGTATGCTTGGATTTGTCATCGATCAAGTTAGTTCTTCACAATGGCCTTGTAAGAAGCATCCTGGAATATTGCAGTATTGTATGGAGACCTTACTACGCAACTCACACGATGCGAATAGAACAAGTCCAAAAAGGTTTGTCCTACACCTAGGGTACTCAAAGGGTAGGCAATTTCAATATCTCTCCTACCTGGATAATTTAGGCTACTACAGACTGAGTTCCCTAGAAGCCCTAAGGCAGCTTTTGGATTTGAGCTTTGCGTATAAACTGTTTAACAACAACATTGACTGCCCACACAATTAAAAAAAAAATACCCCATAGACCAACTCGAAAACCTATAACACCCTTCGCTCTACCTCATCGCTATACAGTGCTTGGTGTTAATTTACCCATACCCCGCATATGCAAACTTATAAACACACGTAGTGCAGCCTGGTCGATGTCCACTCTGATTCAATATCGACGGTTGTCAGACACGTCAAAGTATGAAAATGTGTGAATTAGTCATTAGCATTTAATATATTTTCTAGATTTTGAGTCAAATAAATAAGTTTTAAAATTATGTAACGTAATATGTTAATACAAAGGACACGTTTGCCTTTAATTAAATACAAATTTCGGACATCGGACACACACCGCCATCTAGTTTCAAACTAAGCAGAGCTTATACTATGAAAGCTAGATTTACTGATAGAATACTTATATTCTTTTTTTTGTAAATTGGTTGTGCAGTTAGATTTAAGACACAAACACTTGAATTTTCCTACCTGTATTATATTTCTGTCAACTGTTGGTGAATCTTAATTAAATAAAGAAAAAGAAAATAGGAACTGGAAGAGTACCAAATTAATAATAAAGTAAACCTTTATAGGCTAACTTTTTATCACATAATCATAATTTGCCTGCTCTTTTTCCATTTTTATTTAGGGTAGCTGCAATGTAAAACATTGAAGTTTAGGCTGGTTTCTTTTATTCCAATCCTCCTTGGAAATGACAATGTAATCGTCTTTAGGTAGGTTAAAGAAATACGGTTAATTGTGGTAAGAAAGGCTGATAGGGAGACGGATCTAGGGTAAGGGATCCTGTGATTGGAGATACGACTAGACATTATACATACATAAATTATTTACTACTTATGTATTTACAAGCCATAGTTTAACTTTTTTCACAGTAAAAAATATATATTTCTTTCATGCTTCATGATGATTGGTGGAGTACTTAGTTATGGCGTGAAAGCGTAAGAAACGCACTTACATATATGATACTAGCTAGTACCCGCGACTTCGTTAGCTTCGCGCTGCCTTTAGCTACTATTCCCGAACCGGGTAAAATTTTAAAGATTTTTTTCTGCGAGGAATAATAGCCTAAGTTACTATATAGACAGCTAGTAGGCCAAAACCTCCTTTCTAAGGAGAGGCCTATGTCCAGCAGTGGACTAGTAAAGGACTACTATGTTGATGGTGATATAGACAGCTAGTAAAATTATTATCAAAATCGGTCCAGCCGTTTAGAAGATTACCCGGAACAAAGGCAGACAAAAATGTTTAAACTGGTTTTTAGAGAAAACCTATTATTTAGACATTACAAATAGACACTTCAATTTTATTTATTTGTATAGTTACAAAATACTGGAATGTAAGCAATTTAGTTTAAATTTAAATGAATGATGGGTCATACGAAGCTAGCTAGCTACCATTTCTTGCAAAACCGATAGTCAATTTTCTATTGATTTACCATAATGAAATTAACGCATAAAAGTAAGAATAGATGCGCGGTCAATGGAAATATGGCGATTTATTTGTTATGTAACTTAAAAAAGTACTTAAGACTATCCGCTATTCGACCCGATATTATTATCTGTATACAAAAGACAAAATCGTGGATAGTAACTGTATCGTGGAAAGTAACAACAATGACTTTAATTACACATTACTTATTTTAACGACAGCGAAAGCATACCTAACACCTAAACTTAGTAGGACTTATTCTAACTCCAATTTCATTTAAATTGTACTTGCTTACTAAATGCTCAAGTTTTAATTTCTTGTCACGTAAAATTTGGTAATATCGATCCCTAAGAATATTGAACTTATAATCGCATATTATCCATCAAGCTGACGGACGGTACGTTACGAACACCGTACATTATCATTACGTGACTTTGTAGGTCAAGTAGTATTTCGTTTCACGTTGTAACTACTTACTTACTACTGAAATTAATATGATTAATATACCATTATTAGCTTTAGCTTAATTTCAAATGATTTTCAACCATAATTATCTATTTAAAAGGTATAAAGTACTTCAATATGCCTAAATCATAACAAGTAGTAGTAATATGCTAAGTTATTCATCTCATTTCTTTTTATTTTAGTTTAAGTATATATTATCTAATTGCATTTTTAAATTATTTATCTCCCTATTAAGTATGTCTGTTTGTAATTATCTAAGTTATTATTAATAAATAAAATAGCCCACTTTGTCCCTAAAGGGGCGTTAATTGCATAGCATAAATTGCTTAATATGGTTTTAAAATAATCACACGTGACACACTTATTATTGAGAAGTTCCGGTGGCCGTCTATGGCCTTCAGCATTAGGTTCACCTAATCACAATATGATGATTTATGAAACTAAGTTGTGAGTTGCCATAAAATACCCAAATGGTTAGTAAGATGTGCAAAAGAAAATCAATCAAAATGTTATCTAGTTTAGCTACTATTTGAATCAAAATTTCTACCATAATGTTAATTAAATATGTGGCATTTTTACATAGGTAAACATAATTTTTAATTGCTTACTCCTGATAATATTGTTACAAAAGAAACTAATAACAATTTATGTATATCGATACCTGTTACAACTTAACGAAAACACTATTAGATAGATAGAAAATTCTTTAATCGAACACCACATTATAAATGAACATACACATAATTACTAATTAAAACTTGATAGACGTTTTGGCACAACGGGTAATATCTTATCGCTAAAAGCTGTTTCTATTAACTAATACATCTACCTTTTTAAAATTTGCCATAACGACGCTACTTAAATCATCTGAGAAAGATGTGAAAGGCCAACACACACACACACACACACAGACATACTAGATGTATGTAAATATAAACATATAAATAATAGTATATAATATTAGGTCTTTACCTATGAAATTGCCGTTTTGTATGCAATAAGTGAAAGTACTTATTTCTTCAAACTTTTTTATTTCTGTTATTCGAAGTAATCACCCATGCAATCGACGCATCTTTGCCAACGCATTGGCAGTTTATTGATGCCCTTCTTGTAAAAATCAGCTGGACGGGAGGCAACAAACTCTTCAAAGGCATTTTGTACTGCCTCTCGGGAATTGAATTTTTTACCTAAAGACAGAACCTTCGATTTTGTTCCAAAAACACACAGTAGCAGAGTAGCTTGCTATGGGTGATTACTTCGAATAACAGAAATAAAAAAGTTTGAAAAAATAAGTACTTTCACTTATTGCATACAAAACGGCAATTTAATAGGTAAAGACCTATTATAAACATAAAACACTTTTTTTTCTCTTATTGTCATTTCTCATCTCCTCATCCTCACTTCCGTTAATTGTCGTTTAATCAGGACAGCAATCTTCGCTCTGCAAACAATCTGCTTCTCTTATGTCCCTCCCACAATTCTGACGTCCTGAACTCATTCTTCGTTCAAGCAATTCTACTCTAAAATTCGCAGGAGCGACGGTTTGTGGGCGTCCTAACTTAATTATCATCCTTATCCTAACTTAAAGTTAGGAAACTTCAAGTTAGGATGCCCACAAACCGTTCCGTATTTAAAAAGAAGGTACATGACCTCCTACTTAAAGAGATGGGAGAGTCATCTAATCGATAGTACACCAACCAATTTCCTTATATCCATAGTGTACGAATACGAGTAGAATGTAAATATGTATGTTAATATATAGGTACATTTGTGTATATCTATACAAATAAATAAAATTGAAGTGTCTGTTTGTAATGTCAAAATAATAGGTTTTTTTTCATGCTCATTTGTTATTTGCACGATACCTATGCTTGAAAACCTGCTTGTTTTTGTCTGTCTGCCGGTTTGTTCCGGGGAATCTTCTAAACGGCTGGACCGATATATTTTGCTAACAGGTAGCTGTCTATAGTAACTGCGGCTTTTATTCCTATCAGAGAAATTCCGCCCAGAAATCGAAAACACTAAGACAGCGCTTTTCAAATACCATGCAAACGAAGTCGCGGCTACCAGCTAGTATTTTTATACAAATAAATGT